GAGATTTTTTAGGATACTGGTGGAGGTGGATCTCAGGGAGCCGATTCTGACAGGATTCGACTTTCCATTCACAGATGAAGCAACAGGGGTGGATTACTGTGAGGTGATCGACTTCAAATACGAAAGGTTAGTTGAGCTGTGCTACTTTTGTGGGCGAATCGGCCATAACTAGCCAACTTGTTGGAGGATGGACGAGGAAAGGAGGAGGAATGGGGTGGCGTATCTGTCTGAGGTTTACACTTCATCTCTCAAGGTTGGAATTGATTCTCCCCATATAATGGGTAACGTGAGAAACAACAGAGAGGGGGAGAGATCGTAAAGCTCAACGGGGGGAAGGGACAAAGCAGGGTCAGGTGATTTGTATCAGAGGAGGGAGGAAGGTGACGGAGCACTGTCGTTGGGGGAAGGTAGTCAATCGGGTGGGAACCCACAAGTTCCCCCTGGTTTCACAATCAGAAGAAAAGGGCAGGTCTTACAGAATAGAGAGGAACAGGAGAATCAAGGGAGACAGAGAGGGAGGTATGGAGAAGAAATGGGAGCCAAGAATCTCAATCTTGAGATGGAAAGAACGGCAGAGGCAATGGAGGGAGGTCTGTGTTTGGAAGAGGAAGGGTGGCTGGGTGGTGGCGCCGATAAGGAAGAAGAGGAGGTGGAGATGGGGCTAACCCTTGGGCCGAGGAAGCAAGTGAAAGCGGACCATGCAGGTTTTGAGGGAGGCCCAAGTGAAATCTCTTTACCAACATGATCAACAAGCCTTTGAGGAGGAGATGGGCTGAAAATTTTTAAAAAAAGATGGGTCAAGCTAGCAATGAAAGGCCCAGAGGTGAGATGGGGGAGGGAGCAACTGCTCTCTTGGGCCCAGCTGATGGTATTTTCATGGGAGGGCCTGGAGGGGGAAAAAATATTAAAGGTCAAGCCTCATTCCAGCAGCAAATCAAAGGAGAATTACTAGGATGGGGAGCAAGGAAGGGATACAAGGGCAGCGGTGGTTCGCCAGAAGCCACCTCTTCAGGAATGAGTATTGTAAGTTGGAATTGTAGGGGATTTGGCCCACCCCTTACAAGAAGTTATGCAAAGCTTCTTTGTCGATGCTTAGGCCCTTCTATTGTTTTTCTGATGGAGACTAGCAAGAACGAGGCCTCCATGGAAGAAAAAAGAAGAAGTCTCAAAATTTTCCCCAATAGAGAGTATGTTGAACCGGTTAACTCTTCTAGGGGGGTTGCTTTGTGGTGGAAAGCGGGTATTAGTATTAGTGTGTTAAGTAGTGATAGCTACTATATGGATGTTAGTATATATATGGGTAGAAAGTTTTTTTGTACTTTTGTTCATGCACCCTCTACCGCTGTCAGTAGAAGGGAATTTTGGGAGCACCTGAGCTCTCTCTGGAGTAGTAGGGATGACAGTTGGGTTATTGTAGGGGATTTCAATGCTGCAATCTATGAAAATAAAAAAGAGGGTAGATGTCCTCTTAGGTACGAGAATATTGAACCTTTCAAAAGGTTCATATTCCATAACGCTCTGATCGATCTAGGTTTCAAAGGGGAACCCTTCACTTGGACCAACAAGCAAACATGCCATAATACGACGAGAGTAAGATTGAGCAGAGTGTCGTGCTCAACTTCTTGGAGCGCTCTTTTAAGAGAAGCTGTGGTTTTACATGAAAAAATGGTGGAATCGGACCATTGCCCAATCAGATTGGAACTCCATTTTAGAGAGAATAGGAGAAAGAATACTCCCTTTAGAGTTGATGAAAGATGGTTGGATAAAGAAGAATGCAAGGAGATTGTGGTTCGGGCATGGGACCCGGGAGGCCAATCATCGAACCAACTTACTAAGTGTGAACGTGATCTCAAGGAGTGCTCAAAGGATTTCCATAGAAACAGTTCCCAAAGAGAGAGGGAAATTCACGATCGAATTGAACAGCTTCAGCGTCCTCCAAGAACACAAGAAAGGGTGGAGGAGGAGAAGACATAAGGATGGATGAGGAAGCATACTGGAACCAGTGCTCAAGAGTGAATTGGCTGTAAAAAGGTGACCAAAATACTTCATTTTTCCATTCTAGCACGGTTCATAGAAGACATAAGAACAGAATCCTTAGATTAAAGGACGAAGGGGTTGAATGGGTAGAGGACGAGAATAGACTTAAAGGTATCTCCCTTGATTTCTATAAAGACCTTTTTAGAGCCAAAAACCCTTTCCCCTCAAACTACCTTTTGGATGGTTTCCCTAGTAAAGTCTCTCCCAAGATTAATGAAGAGCTTTGTGACCCTGTTTCAAATGAGGAGATTAGGAGAGTTGTCTTCTCGTTGGGAGCAAAAAAATCTCCAGGTCCGGATGGATTCTCTGGGCGCTTCTACCGTCGTTTCTGGGGCATTATTGGAGAAACTCTGAGTCGAGAGATTAAGATGTTCTTCGATTCTGCCAGCATGCTAGAGGGATGGAATGATACGCATATTGTTATGATCCCAAAGGTGGACCACCCTGAAGTGATCAATCCCTATCAGCTGCTGTAATTTTCGATATAAAATTATATCCAAGATTATGGCAACTTGCCTCAAGAAATGGATACCTGATCTAGTCTCGGAGCTACAAACGGCTTTCATAGGAGGGAGGCTAATCCAGGATAACATCATTATCGTTCACGAGGCTCTGCATCACTTCAAGAACCACAAGAGAGGGGGGAGAAGGGATATGATGCTTAAGTTGGATATGAAAAAATCCTGGAGCTTATCAATGACTATTGAGCAATCACGGGGACAAGAAGTGAATATAAAAAAATCATCAATCTTCTTCAGTGCAAATGTTCCTAATGATGAGAGAGCAGCTATCATTACACATCTAGGATTTGCCTCAACGAACTGTCACTCAAAAATATCGGCGGGGGGGGGGGGGGGGGGGGGGGGGCGACTGAGTGGGGTAATTCGAAGAAGGAGACCTTTAGCTTCCTTATCCAAAGAATGGAGAAGATGGAGGAAGCTTGGAAAAGTCTTCTGCTCTCTCATGGGGGAAAAGAGATTCTGCTCAAAGCCATGATTCAATCTATCCCTTCCTACATCATGTATCTTTTCCACCTCCCAATGACTCTTACCAAGAAGATGGATGCACTCCTTGCCAATTTTTTCTGGTCAGGGTCAATGCAGAAAAGCAGTTTGCACTGGTGTAGAAAGGAGGTTCTATGTGCTCCGAAAAGTGAAGGGGGACTGGGTTTCCGAAGCTTCAAAGATTTCAACATGGCCATTTTGGCGAAACAAGCTTGGCGACTACTCACGTCATCCGACTCACTCTGGAGCCGCCTCCTTAAGGGCCTTTATTTCCCGAGAGGAGATTTCATGAGCGCAAAAAAGGGTAGTCGATCCTATTGGATTTGGGCGAGTCTCTGGGAGGCAAAAAAAAGTCTTGAATATAGGAGCAATTAAGGTAATTGGCTCAGGAGAGGAGACTTGGGTGAACCAAGACCCTTGGATTCCCAATCTTAAAAACTTCATCATTCGAAGCGGGCCCCAACAACAATTGAAGGTTAGGGATTGGATTAATCCAGAGAACAGAAGTTGGGACACGAATACTATTTCAGGGTCATGTTTCCAAGGTAGAATTGGATGCGATTGTGAGGATTCCGATAGGGAAGGAAGGAGCCAAAGACTTCTGGGCGTGGAGTCTTTCTAAAGAAGGAATGTTCTCGGTAAAGACGGCTTACCACGCTTTTCACAAAAAAAATACAAACTTTCAACAAATGGAAGTGCTGACAAATGGAAATGGATGTGGGGACTGAACCTCCCACCTAAGCTCAAATTCTTCATCTGGAGGTGTTCAAGAAATGGGTTGGCAACGAAAGCGAGGCTTTATCACAGGAAATGTGCCCCTAACCCGAATTGTCAAGTTTGCAATAACCCAAATGAATCCCTCTTGCACTGCCTTTTCTACTGCCCTCATGCCAGTGAAGCTTGAAGCTCTATCTTCCCTTCTCTTCCTCTTCCTCCCCAGGATTCTTCTTTCTTTGATTGGATCTGGGACATCAAGGATGCTATTTCTCAAGAAGCCTTGATCCATATCGTGTTCCTTTGCTGGAATATATGGAAGGCTATAAATGAGTGTACTTTCAAGAATAGAGTTCCTTGGCCCCCTAACGTCTGTTTGCAAACCTATAGAGAACGCACTGAATGGAGTTCCTTCCCGAGGCCCCCATCTTCAAATGATGCCTCTCCTACTCAGCTCAGGGGAAACCATACCTCTACGAATCCCCTGCCAAATAATCACCCTTTGATGATTCACTGTGATGGGTCGTTCATTAGCGACTCCCAGTCGGCGGCTTATGGTGTTGTGACTTCTAACCACCATGGACAAGTGAGTGATGGATGAGTTGAGACCCTTCTTTGTTCCATCCCCGATTGAAGCGGAAGCGAAGGCCCTCTTGGAAGGTATCAAATTAGCACAAGAATATGGAACGGAATGCACGGTCTTTTCTGACTGTCAGGTTCTGGTGAAAGCCTTGGAAAAAGATTATTCGGGATGGCCATGGCGGTGTGTGGCCTGGATTGGCTCGATGATCAACATCCTTAGGAATAACCCGTCCATTAAAGTCAATAAGGTGCCGAGAGCGTTGAATGTCAGAGCCAATTGGGTAGCACGTTCTAAAGCTGGATCTACTCTACCTGTTGACTGGATTAGTATTCTTGATCTAATTTCTGATCTTCTGTAAGAATGTAATCGGAGTTTCACGATTATTTCGATAGTGGAATAAAAGATGGAATTATCGTAAAATAAAATCCTTAGATTTGTAGGTTCTCTACAAAGTAAAAAGGACCACAGTGATCTAGCTAGCTGGGCAGGGACGTACCTGAAGCAGGTCTGACCAGACCTGAGGCTGAAAGAGAGTAGGTGGGCCCCATCCCCTCCTTACGAGAAAAAAGCCAACGCCATTTTCTTTTTTACTTTCTCATTTCTTTTCCGTTTCCGTTTTCTTGGCTCATTCCACTTCCATTCCTTTTCACCTTTCCCTCTAGTAGGTGTCAAACTGTCAAAGTTTTACACTTATCAATGACCAGACCAGACCCAGCTTGCAATAAAAATCTAACCCTCCCCTGCCATTATTCTCCTTTCCTCTCTTCTTATGCAAGAGACAACAGCATCACTACTAGCTGCTGCTCCTAAGCTACTTATTAGCTTCAGGAAAAAAAAACCAGAAACACAAAACAGATAAAGAACGAAGCTTCCCCCCCCCCCCCCCTGTGTTTGTTTCCATGGATGCTGCGGACGAACCCATCTCTCCTACTCCTTCCGATCAGCTTCCCCTCAACCAGCACATCTCCATGTATCCCCACTTCAAGGTACTTTCCTTTTTTTTTCCTCTTTTGCATGTTTCCCCAGGAAGGTGTTTGATCTCTGAGAAAATCTGTCTGGGTTGTCTTCCGTTCAGGTTAATAGAAGGAAGTCGCGTGGCTCCAGGATGAAGCCTAGCCAGATCCACCACCGCCAATCACCTGACCAACCTGACTCCAACTCTCAACTCGTAAGATTCTTTTTCTTAACCCTATTTCGGTTTCCTAGCTCTCTCTCTCTCTCTCTCTCTCTCTCTCTCTGTGAATCTCTCGAGTGGGGACTTCGACTTTTATTTTTAGGGCGGGAAGCGCCTTCGTTTTCTACTCTGTGCTCAGCTTGCTTCAGCTTTTTCTTGTTTGCTCGCAATTTCAATTTGAGGGCTTTCGTTATCCGTTTGTAATTAGTGCTGGGTGAAGCATTCTTGCTATCTAACTTTTCGCGGGAAATCCGGGGGTTATCTCATATTTCTCGGATTTGGGTACTCAAGCTGAGGCCTCCGCGAAATCTGGGTAGCTGAGTGTTAATTTCAGTTACGAGCTGCAGCTTCATAGATTAGCTTCCTGGAGCTATTCAGATTCGATTGCAGCATTTTGAGCTGCCCTTTGGGTTGAGCTAATCAGAGTTGCAGCATTACGCAGCTTCTGTCCTATGAATTCTTCAAAAATATAAGTCTTTGTTGATTTAGTGGTGGCCATGTGTAACACTTGCTTACTTCTCCTCTGTCGGGTTCAAAGTTTTGAGCTTTCCTAGTAATTCAGAAGTTCCGACTCCTTATCTATTTCTGGTATAACGTGTTACCAAACGTTATAAAGTCAGTTTTTTTAATAGAAAGGATTGGGACTTCTGTAGTTTGTGATTGAATCCGATGAGGCAGCATATATAAAGCAACTTACTTGGATATTCTTCACCTTTGTGCAGGTTTTGTATGACAATTCACCCGACTCTAAACGGTCAGAGATGTAGCCTTTTGGTGTTTCCTTACTTCAGTTGCTGACTGCTCACAAAGCAGGATTGTTGTTTAATACTGTTGCTTGTGTACAGACAAAAGAGAGCTGCTGTGCATGACTTCTATGATGGTGGTGAGGTGAAGTCATCTTCTGCTCTCGATCGTGCAGAACAGTTTCGAGCAAATCTACCTGCTGATAACCCTAGCTTTGCTAAGACATTAGTCCGTTCCAATGTCACCGTTGGATTCTGGATGGTATGACTTATGAGGCCTTTAAGAATGCCGTCCTATTTTCAAGAGCTGTAAAGCCATGCATACTGACCTTGAATTTTCAACTGATTTCTATCTGATGCAGCATCTCCCTATGCGGTTTTGCAAATCTTACCTCCCGAAGTCCGATACAACTGTTCTTGTTGAGAATGAAATTGGAGCAGAATATGTAATCAATTACATTGCGGACAGGACAGCTTTGAGTGGTGGATGGAAGGCCTTCTGTGCTGCACACGAGCTGATCGAGGGCGATGTTCTCATCTTCCATTTGGTCAAACCCCTAAGGTTTAAGGTAGTGTTTTCTTCCATTGTTGAAAGGTGATTTCCTTGTATTTTGCACTCGTTTCATTTTTGTTTCTGGAAAATAAGGTCATTAGTAACATGAAAGGAGGAGATGTGTTTGTAGATATTTTGGTTAGTAGTTTACAACTGAACCTCTAGAGTCTAGACGCAACTCTAGTGTGTAGAACTTGAAGCAATGGATTTTGCAACTCTAACTATTTAGGGAAATCATGGAAAATGGAAGCTTAGCATGAAAGATGATATCAAGGCATATGCTAGTATCGTCTTATCTATGGTGATCAGGGATTCATTTTTCTTTAGCTGTCGATGAATCTTCTATCCTATCTTAAAAGTCCCCTAACGAGACCTCAGCATCCCTCCCAATATCTATTTCATCGTAACAACATTTACCGAAACACTATTCCTTTGCAGGTGTATGTAGTGAGAGGAAATGTTTCTTCTCCCAAGTCCGACGATGATCTTCATATCCAACACACAGAGGCCAGTGAAAAGCGAATTATTTCTGGTGCTTAACCTCTTCCGTCAAATCTTATTACCTGTCTAGTCCATAAACATTAGTCTCATAATATCTTCACTCTCTTTTCCTGACAGCAAGAGAACCAACTAAGCTGCCGGGAACCCGAGACAGTAATAAAAGTTCCCTGTCGAGGCAGGACAATAACGACAATAATGAACAAGAAAAGCGTCTTGTAGCAATCAATTCAACAACCAATGCCAATTTTCAAGATCACTCCGAAAACAGCTCCGGAAACATGGAAATCGTCACATGTTCTTCAGAGCCCACTGCGCCTGTTGACATAATCGACTTCTCTGGCGGCATAAAAGAGTTCAGTGTGGTGGTCAATGGCACTGAGATCGATTCGGAGCTCTCGGACCACCACCGGCAAAAATATTACGAATTATGCTGCTCCCAGAGAACATTTCTGCATGGGAATCTCCTCGACAGTATCAACTGCAAGCTGGCTGCCGAGATCATAATAGGAACAGTAGACATAGCTGAGTCCATCAGGGCGTCCACACTGTCGAGCTCTCGCAGGGAGTATGCTGTATGGGAGAAGAACCTGAAAGGGTTTCAGCTGCTGGGGATGAACGTCAGGTTCCTGTGCGAGAGGCTAGAGAAGCTGATGAAGCTCGCATTGGAGTCGGAAAAGGCTGTGGAGTCTGAGAGGCGGGAAGTGAAGCTGAGGCAGGAACGAGTGAGCGAGGAGATGGAGAGCCTGGAAGTGAAGCTTAAGGAGTTGCGAGAAGCGAGGAAGAGGATCGATGAAGAGGTCGAGACTCTGAAAGTGACTGCAGAGAGGCATGAAGTTGTGTTCCAGGAAGTCGTGAATGCTCCATGGTGAAAAGAGTTCTTTAATGTAATGCTGCCGTTTGAGGCAGTTGTGTACTGTAATGTTTGTAATGTTTTATGCTGTAGGTGTAGGCTTTGTAGGCTTGTATTTCTATGTATGGTGTTGTATATCATTAATCTGATTAAAAGCTTGTAACTTTATGGATCGTTTGCCACCATGAATAGAGTCTAGCTGTATGAGCGGCAGGACAGCGACCTTGAGAGATTCAATTTGTATTCGTTGCAGACTTGCAGTAATGTTCATGATCATGAGTGAAACACTGCGTTTTGGTCTATTTCATGAGCAGGACGGTTAGTTTTCTGAACCTGCCTCCTTTTTTTCTTTCTTTTTTTCTGTTGCTGCTTTGTTTTTTTCCTGCACAGTTGCATCTTCTTCTCCCATCACTCACACGTCGCTCAGTCCACTCGCCCACTTCTTCCATGACTGCCCACTTCATTTTACAAAAAAACGGTAAAAAGATCCTTCCTTTGATCACCCGGTATATAATGGCTAGAGAATGGCTCTCAGAGAGGGCTCTTTCCAAACGCTTACTGCAAGCTTTTTGTACGTGTACCCATATTTTCACTGATCAGATAGCTCAACACAAGTCCGCCAAAACAGCAGAGAGGGCCAATGCAGAGCCAACAGAGCATGAAACTGCAGGATGGATGCAGAAGAATTCCAACCAGGCCTCGAAGGTCAGTCAACCTTAAATCTCCTCAACTTCTTGTTATGCAAATTTCGATAAATGCTTGCTTGGGGATTTTACAGCCACAGAAGGATGAGAAGAAAATCTTCAGTGAGGAGTTTGTACCATGGCAATACAGAGGTTATGAATCACATCATGCAAAAGGCCAAAGCAGTCGAATACAATCTTCCAAAGGACCATCCTACCTTCATCAAGCACCTGTATCCCTGCCAGGTCAAAACCCCTTTTAAGCTGGTAATGACCCAAAAATCTGAATTCCAATTTCTACAACCACATTCATTTGTAAGTTAGCAATTAATTGATTCGTGTGGCCGTCCGGTGACAGAATCTCCCCAAGGAGTTTTGCGACAAGCATATGCCAATCTCCGACCAGGCTTTTAGCTTGGAAGCCGAGAGCGGACAAGTCTACCGTGTCAGCTATGCAGTGCGCCTCCATCAACTCGGTGGAGGATGGAAAAAGTTCTCAGTTGATCAGAAATTGGTCCCTGGAGATGTTCTTGTTTTCCAACTTGCTTCTCCAGCCAGGTTCAAGGTAAAATTGCAATTTCCTTGAACGATAAGGATTCATTATCATGGTGGTATATCAGGAAATCTTAATCGAAGCCAACAAACTCTGTCAACAGGTCTGCATTGTGAGGAAGAAGGACTCAAATCAAGCGATTGGTGTTGGTCGTGGCTTTGTGAAACCATACACTTTTAACCCCGTATCAGAAGTAATCGACCTTGAAGAAGAAGAAGAAGAAGAAAACAGTGACACTAACAGGTTGATCATGGAGAAGTATCATGATGCTGAGATAAGAAATGGGGTTTGCTATGATTTCAAGCTAGTGAAAAGCATTGAAGATTTCAGCATTGTGGCAAACGGTCTAGTCATAGACGGGGAACTGCCCGGATGGGTTCGATCCAGGTACTACGAACTGTGCCGGAGTCAGAACTCGTTTCTGCATCGAGGTGTGATCAAGGACCTTACCTGTAAGCTGATTGCTGGTGCAATTGCCGAGACTGTCAACATTGCGGATGCCATCAGAGGGTTCAGGGGTGATGTAAGTGGAGAAGGAGATTTTGAGACTTGGAGGACCAAATTGGAAGCTTTCGAGAAACTGGGGATGAAAGTTGACTTCCTCCTCGTACGGCTGAGGAAACTGGAGGAAGTTTGGGATGAGGCAAATAGGTACATGGAACTGAGAACCCAGAGAGCTGCTGCAGAGGCTGAGGTGAGGAATTTGGAGGCACAACTTGGAGAAGCCAAAGGAAGAGTGGGGGAACTGAACACTGTGATTGGACTTGATGGATATCGAAGATGCTTTCAAAGATTTGGCAAATGGTCCATGGTGACGTCATCGGTGTCCGAGGATGTGAAGGAAGAATGCTGACCAGAAGAAGAAGTTGCAGAAAGAAGAAGAAAGAGTCCTGATGGAGGAAGGATTGGCTGTTCAAGATGAAGACGTTTCCTGTATAAGAAACGTTTCCTTTCTTTGTTTAAGTTTAAGAGCAAAACTATGTCGTTTTACATTGCAATGGTTAGCCGTTGCTAAACAGTGTTTATTTCTTGTAATGGCCTATAAGGCAGAGACATGTGGACTAGCGGACTAATTTGAAGTAGCTCACTGATATATAAACGAGAGATACAGCAGAGAAACCTTTGAGGGTTCTGCTATTCTCCAAATCCCTATCTAAAAATCTCATATGGTATCAGAGCGGTTTCGCTACTAGGGTAACGATGAATACTCCGCCGCCGGGAAACCAAGGCCGTCCTCAGTCATCAGGAAGTGGGTCAGCTGGAATAACTGGATCTGGTATGCAAGGAGTCCAATTTGGAACTTACACAGACCAGCAAGGAAACCAGCAGCAATTTACATCTGGACCCAGATCTGAGGTAATCACATTCGGCAATCCCTACTATCTCAACCCTAATGAAGCTCTCAATCAGTCTATTGGTACAGAGGTGTTTGATGGAACCAACTATACTATGTGGAGTCGATCTGTGGTAATGGGTCTTAAGATGAAGCATAAGCTTGGGTTCATAGATGGGAGTATCCCAATTCCTCTAGTGACCGATTAGAGGTATTTGCTGTGGGATGCTTGTAACACAGCTGTCTTATCCTGGATTTTGAACTCCCTGCACAAAGATCTGAAGAGATCTGTGATGAATCATATCAATGCTAAGGTCTTATGGGATGAGTTGAAGAGAAGATATGGTAAACCTAATGCTATTAGACTCATTAACCTGGAGGATGACATCCATAAGCAGAAGCAAGGAAACCTCACAATCAATCAGTATCACACTTTGATTAAGGGGTTGTGGGAAGAATATGTCCAATTCAGTCCAATAGTTCCTTGTAACTGTGCCCCAGGAAATCCCAATCCTTGTGATGCTGTGGTTGCTTATATAGAGAAACAAGAAACAGACTATTTGATAAGGTTCTTAAGGGGTCTTCATCCAGACTAGAGCTGTCAAAATGTAACCCGACCCGAGTAACCCGACCCATAACCCGCCCGCAATCCGATTTGACTAAAAGTCAATGACCCGTAACCCGCCCAACCCGCAACCCGATCGACCTGCAACCAGATCGACCCGCAACCCGACCAACCCGCAACCCGGTCGACCCGCAACCCGATTAACCTGCAACCCGATCAACCCGCAACCCGACTAACCCGAACTCGTAACCCGACCAACCCGTAGCCCAACTATAATAGAGAGAATTCGATGAAGATAAACCAAAAGTTGACATTTGAAATTCTAATTCACTAAAGTCTGATCATTTGGAATTCAATTTTGTTGTGTGTTTCTTAGATGTAGTTTATCTATTTAATGTTGTATATATTCTTTTGTGGATGGGTAATAATGGAATGTTAATTATCAAACGATACCTCTTTCTAAACTTGGATGCTCATTGAATCATATAGGCTTTCATGTACTTTTTTCCCCCTTCAGTTAGTACTCAATATGATAGATATTAGTAATTTCCCATTAAGAAAAAACTTCAGTTCTAAGTATTTGTGTAAGTAAACAATTTGTTAAATTAATTAACCATCACAACATTCAAGACTCCGGCTTTTAATGAAATCAAGCGTGCTTTCCTGCAACTTCATCATAACTCTTTGCTTTTACAGTCATCATTCCTGCATCAGTAGAGGGTGAACCAGTTTCACAAGTTCTATCATACTGTTGAGCATAATGCATCACAAGAGATCCAGAACCAATATGTATTAATTTGTTTTTGTAACTTAGATCCTGGGGCGGAGGCGCGGGCAAAGATACTAGTATCAATTAAAACTAAACCCAATCACAAATCTGGTGTTCATTTGACAAAGAATAAGAAGAAAACAGACAGCCAGATTGGGAACCCAGATCACCGACAACCCTGGTCTCCTTTAGCCCAAGCGGTGGCGCAGCCGATGGAGAAGAAGGTGAGGTCGGATAACGGAGGCCCCTTCTACCTCCTCATTCTTGGTCCGAGAAGGCGACGAGAAGGCTTCTTCGTGAAGATCTAGAGCGAAAACCCTAGCCTCTGTCGTCTCGATCTCTCCACCGCCACCATCTCATCCAACCTTCGAAGCCTCACTCTCTGCCCCCACCTTGCTGGAACCCTTGCTCTGTCGTCTCGATCTCTCCGCCATAGTCGTCTGGCCATTTCGCCAACGTTGCCGCATCTCGCCAGAGCAAGCCGCTAGAGGCGGAGGTGTCATTTTTTTTAGAGGAATCAAAGGAGATGAAAGAAGGTTCTGTTTTCTTTGAGAATAGAGTGGCAGGTGAAGGAAGGGGTTGTTGTTTGCAGAGGAACGAAGGATAGGTAGGTGAAGGGCTCGTTTTCAATTTCCAACAAAGAGAAATAGTGGTTTGAAATTTGGGCGGTGGTGGGTTTGATTTATTTGCTGAAAATTTTCAACCATAAAAGGAGGGAAATTTTGGGCGGTGGTCAAAATTTGGGTGGGCATTTCTCAAGAAAAAATTAGGCGGGCATTGAATATTGGGCGGGCAAATGATTTGTGTCGGTTCAATACGAAACCGACCCAAATCAACAATAATTGTGTCGGTTATAGTGAAAACCGACTCAAATACGAAATAAATTGTGTCGGTTCTCTCTAACCGATGTAAAAGCATAAAAAATTGTGTCGGTTGCTTAACCGACACAAATCTCCGACGCTAAATAATTTTTTAGTGTCGGTTCAATGAACCGACACAAAACCCCTGTTTTCATGCAGTGGTGACTGATTATTAGTCACGGGAAGTGAAGATTAAAAATAAGTAAATTTAATTCCCGTGATTGTAACTATAAAATTAATTACGGGAAATTTTACCGTGCTTAGTAGCATACCTCTAAGTACAGGAAACACTATCGTGAATAAGATATCGTGACTGAAAATCAGTTTTCCTGTAGTGTAATAAGGTATATAGACTATAGAGTCGATGTATAGGGTATATGGTTAGTCTAATGGGTTAGAGTATAAGGTATTAATGGTTTAACAATTATTAGTCAAAATCATAACTAATAAGATCAACTTTTCTTATTAACACATGTTCATCAATCAGAATTCAGATCATTAGGGGTTTAGGGTATGGGTTATAGAGTCGACTTATAGGGTATATGGTTAGGGTATAAAGTCGTAATGATTTGACCACGATTAGTCAAAATCATAACTAATAAGATCAACTTTTCTTATTAACATATGTTCATGAATCAAACTAGTAGGGGTTTAGGGTATAGGTTATAGAGTCGACTTGTAGGGTATATGGTTAGAGTATAAGGTATTAATGGGTTGGCTACGATTAGTCAAAATCATAACTAATAAGATCAAGTTTTCTTATTAATATATGTTCATGAATCAAACCATTAGGGGTTTAGGGTATAGATTATAAAGTCGACTTATAGGGTATAAGGTATTAATGGTGTAGCCATGATTAAACATATGTTCATCAATCAAACCATTAGGGGTTTAGGGTATATGATATAGAGTCGACGTATAGGGTAATGGGTTAGGGTTAAGGTATTAAACTATTAATGATTTAGCCAAGATTAATCAAAATCATAAATATAAGGATCAAGTTATTTATTAACACATGTTCATTAATAAAATCATTTGGGGTTCAGGGTATAGACTATTTAGAATTTAGATTATATGTTATCGAGTAAAGTTACAATTGAACTCACAACAAATTTTCTAAATTTTATAATTCAGTTTAATACAAAAATCATATAAACAATTAACTAGCTAAAACAACAATTTCTCTATACATTTATATGAACAATTTCACCTGTTTTTAAAAAATTAAAAACTATTTTTAAACTTTTCTCTCCAAATTTTGGGTCCCCCCAATACTACAGCCCAAAAATTTGATTCCCCCCACCCGCCGAGACCCGCCAATAATTCCCCCTGTAATGTTTCCCCAAAATTTTGTTTTCCCCCACCTTTGAGTCTTTGACTTTGAGTAGTGATTCCTGTTTTTTGACAAGTATTGTGTTAGCTTCATATAGTTACGATTTACGACTTACTAGTAATCACTAAAAAGTAACGCGATGTTCTGGTCCGTAAAACCCGCAACCCGAACCGCCCGACCCGCAACCCGATTGACCCGCACCCGATTGGCCCGCAACCCGATTGACCCGTAACCCGATTGACCCGCAACCCGATTGACCTGTAACCCGAATAACCCGCAACCCGATGAACCCGAACCCGATGAACCCGCAACCAGATCAACCCGACCAACCCGCAACCCGAATGAACCCAACCCGAACCCGCCCGAACCCGCCCGATTGACACCTCTAATCCAGACTATGAGATTATTAAGAGTCACCTATTGTCACAGAAACCTCTTCCATCTGTTTCAGAAGCAGTGGATGATCTTCTTTTGGATGAGCAGAAACTGAAAGCAGAATCTGTAACAAGTGGAAGAAAGAGTCAAACTGTGGCATTAGCAGTTGAAGCTGGACAAGAAGGGAAGCCAAAAGCACAAGGCAAGAAACAATGTGTTTACTGTAAGAGGTATGGGCATAATGTGGATGAGTGCTGGAAGATCAAGAAGAAAAGAGAGATGGAAGATGGAGGAACACCCAGAAGTGGACAGGGTACTGTCACTGGTTTTGCTGGTTCTGTTTCACAAAACAACTCCAGTGACACGTCAACAGAGTCAAGTTTTGGTAGCTCTACTGATACTACTGGAAATAGCCCGGTAAGTTCTTCTAAGACTGTGATGGGTTTTACACCTGAGGAAATGAACAGGCTAAGGCACATGATGCAAGCTGGTGGTAATGCTGTCTCCTCACCACCACTTTCCCCCTCCATAGCACATAATGCTTATTCTGTCTCCCAATTCTTGCCTCCATATCCCAATTATGCAGGTAAATTCAGCCTTTCAACCTTTTCACCACAA